GTAGCAATGTAGGAGAGTGGACTCTGCTTACTCAGTCATAATACTCAGGTTAGGGAGCTGTAGAGATTCATTTGACAGCTGTGGCAACACAATTCACCTGCATACTGGTTTGTGCATTTGTGGCACCCATTTAAACATCCTATTGGCTTAAAACAGCGGCACCTTTAAGGGGGACGAAAGGGACTCCAAAGTGGGTCAGAGTAAAAATATCTTCAACAATTATTCATGGGACCCCGCCTATCTCTACCATACCTCCACCCTGTGAAAAATCTGCATTGCACTGCAGTGAGGGGAGACAAAATGGAGTGGAAGAGATAAGGAGTAAGGAGAGACATGGAGGAGAAAGGTTTAGGGTGAAAAGAGCGAAGACAGAGCGAAGAGCGGGTACTTTGTTTACTTGTTTTGGCTTGGCTTGTGATGAAACGTGGGTGCAACGTGCAATGCACAAAGAACAATGTGCAATGTGTGCTGTGCAAACACTTACTTTGATGCTCGATGCTAAACTTTTCTAACATTTGATCCATCATCGTCAGCAAACCTCCCACCAAACACCAACACTGTACCCACCATTACAGATGACTGCCAAGACTGCCTGAATTAAACATTTACCACACCGATCCACAGCTATCTCGTGTACCTTTCTCTCTTTTCTGAAATGGGGGGGGGGGGGGGGGGGGGGGGCTTTGCAAAGCAGAGACTTTGTGAAATCTCTCTGATTGGGCAGGTACAGAGTGTGGTGTTCTGTGATTGTTACAGCAGTGGGATTTTGGAGACTTTGGTTGGGCGCTTAAGGTTGAATGTTGTTGTTGTTTCGTTCTTTTGTGATTGCCTGTACCAAAAACGCATCATGATTGGAGCAATTAATCAAATCAAGGATTGTGATTGGTTGCAAGGAAAACTAGATTCCAGTGCAGCAGAAGGGTGTCATGGCTGCCAGGTCCCTGTAGGTCTGCACTGTAAATCCACACATTAATCAGAGTCGGCAGGGAGAGATCAAAGGAGCCTGTTCCATCTTTACTCAGAGCAGCACTTTGATGTTTATGTGTGTGTGTGTGTGTGTGTGTGAGAGAGAGAGAGAGAGAGAGAGAGAGAGAGAGATAGAGAGAGAGAAAAGAGGAGAGAGTCAGACAGAGAGAGTGGGGCTCAAAATTAGGATATGATAGACAGCCTGGAGAGAGAACCTTCATGTGTGTAGCCTGCTGGGTCTTGATACACAACATATTAGCAATAATCAAGATCTGGTGTAACTTTGAATATCAACACCCACCGAATCCTGTGTTCACTGCTCCCATGAAATGATCTCATTCCACCGCATCCACAGGAGTATACAAACCGCCAAATTAGCACATATGAGGACGACAGGTTGATACAGCACATGTACAGTGTGGATGCTTGCGACCACATGTCTGAAAGCATGCATGTATTTCACACACACACACATTCGTGTATGTGCACACATGCATTGTTCACTGTCAAATATGACAGTGCCCCCAAATCCACACCAATAGGAGATGCTTTCCTGCCCCATGGTGGTCCTCTACTGTCACTGCAACATAAGCCTTCCTCTCAGCGCACACTCAGTCACAGCAAAGTGTGGTATGCCACCATTGTATGGCAGCTGAGCCTGCAGTTGCCATGGCGACATAGAGCCGCAGCACAGGCTTTAAAAGCATCTTGTATTATTAGTTGGTGTGTTGACACTTTTGCATTTCTTCCATTCTCTGTGAATCAGAAGCTTTTAGCGCTCAGTCCTCCTTGAAAAAGGTGACGACTGTGTGTAGTGCTGTCAGTCTAACACTAGGGGATGTGGTCACAATTGACTGAGAAGTAAAATTGTGCCATTATTGCACGCACTGGATACGTTTCTCACTCTAGACCATTAGTTACAAGTTAATATTTCAGCTCTTTATATTATACAATATATATATTTTTAACAGTGTTCCCATCTAAGCTTTTCTCTGGTCTGCATCTTCTTTACTAATAGCTTTTTTTAATTGTTAGATTTTTATAAATAAATACCCACTGGACAGAATTAACAGAAATAAATTACCAAAATGACACCAGGAAATACTAAATATTATTTATTGACTGATGCACAAAATTGTGTTGTCCATTATGTGGTTAAGGTAGTTTGTCAACTCATGGGCTTTTCTGCCATCTGCTGGCTCAAGTACTGTACATTCATCACTGGCTCCGAGAGGGAAAGTCATCACATGGTCCATGCATGACACTGATGACATGTTTTTCATCAGCTGTCACCATTAAAACATCTGTTTTGTCCAGTGCAGCAGTTTGTGATTCAGTGTTTCAGATGTAAACCTACAAAAATGTTTGACCAGAATGGCACATCAATATTAGGACAGAAGGGATCATGTAAAATTTTGTCTGATGTTACATTTTGATGTCAAAGGTCAGAGGCTGCATGTTATAAAACGCTTTATGTAGCTTCAAGCGACTGCTGTGAAAAAAGCTCATTTTTATGGAGTGAAGTTTGTTTGTGTGATTAATTACAGACCAGAATGCATGTCAGCTTCAATATCAAATGTGAAGTTTATTTGATCTAGAAGATGACATGTATTTTGGTCTGTAATTAATCACACAAACAAACTTCACGTTTTTGTTTTATGCTCCTCCTTTTTTAAGAGCTTCTTATTAACTAGACTGTGTTTAGTCACATTGTCTTAGGCACAATTTATTTGTTTTGAGTACACGAATCACACCTTTGTTGTCACTTACCTGTTTTTTCATTCAGTATTTATTGATCCCTATTGGATAAATGTCTGTGAATGTTCTCATTTGTCCAGGTCATAGTTATCATAATAACTATAACTATTGGATAAATGTGTTTAACGTGTGTAGCTTTTTCTTGGATATTCACTCCCACAGTTTTATATTATTGCTTTATGTTTCTCCTCTGTCTATTTCACTGCTAGACTGTATTCAGCGCTAGTGAATGCACACAAACAGACATGCGTTGTGTTAAGTGCATCAAATGCATCAAAATTAATCATCACCAATGAAAAGACTTGACCACCATTTGTGTTTAAATCTGAATTACAGCCCAATACACTTTTCAGGTCAGGATGTTATGTGCGGTGCAACAGGATAACACTGTATATATGTAGTGTATTACATGCATAAATACAATCACAGTCAGATTTGGTAGTGCCTGAGACTGTTGAAGAACTCAGGCAATAACTGCTTTAAATCTCAATTACTGACAGCTAAACAATTAAGTCAGTCTAAGCTAAGTACCAATTAACAGCACGTGTCAGTTTTGATAAAAGTCTGGTAATCAATGTTTCATTGAGTTTTCAAGGCAATACGAGGAAAAATGTTCAGATGCATGTAATGTGACAAAGGAAAGTCTAAAAAGTCAACCATTTGTCAAACACATGGTCATAATTACAAAGAAGTCACTAATAAACCCTGACTAACTGAAAGACACTTATTAAGATGTTTACTTAAAGATCCTCGCTTGACATAATCTAAAAAGTACTGTGCTTTAAATAATAATTTGTGTCTGATATAGTTTTGACACGAAAAAGTTGAAAACAATGTCAAATTATGTCTCCACATTAGACTTGTGTAAATTGCATATTGGACTGTGACTGGCTTCCAGATTAGTTGTGATGTGACAAAGTCCTGATGTAGGTTCACACTTTAAACTCAGATTTAAGGTGTGCACGGAGAAAACCTCGCCCTTCAGCAGATGAATGTGAAACTAAACTCAGCATAACAAACAGTCTCGAGAATAACCACCAAATGAAGTCTGAACCTCTGAAATTCTCAACAAGGTAGCTTACTTTTTTTTCTACTTTTGTCTTCCACAAGGTGGCACCATCACCTCAACAATTTCCCAAAGAATATAAAGTACAAATGTGAGGGGGGACTGAGCTTGCAGAGAGTCATGTGGAAATTTCAAATGTATGATTGTAGTAGTTTTTCCACACATCACAGTGTAATGCTCCATACTGGACACAATGTGGCAGCCTCACCTTCATTATCAAGTTTAATACTTGGCCTGTGGCAGTCAGGACACCTGTTCCTTAGCTCCAGGAAACCTTTTACTTGCTCTTTGTCTTAAGTCTAATTAGAAATCTTATGCAAATGTTTACTAATTGTCTATACTCAGCCCTGTATTACTGCTACAGGGGTTTCTTCAGCATTGAATTCAATGTGACATCTCAATTTCACTTTTACCTTCTGTGCTATCACAGTCATTTCCTTTTCTTTTCTGAAGTGTTTGGAATTTCAGAGCAAAACCCTATATACAGTATAGGCATATAATAAGAAACTAAAATATATTACTGCTACTCTATAGTTTTCATGAAGGTTATGCACATGAAGCATTGAATTAACTAACATAATTGAGGCTATTTTTCTTTTACTAATCACTGTCTGGCCAGTGTAAGATGCTACATCACCTGCTTAGGTGACTGAGTGTAACCTGTCCCTGAGCATTTATTGCCAGTGCTGACACAGTGAGTTTACAAGGTGAAGCAACTTCCTCCGTAAGCTCAGGCTATTGTTTTTTGTATCTGGAACAGGAGAACAGAACAGGTCGCATGTTCAAACCTCACAACCTCCTTATGTCCTTTCAGTGACTTTCTGCACCTGTGGCAGATGTCTTCTTTAAGAGGTGAGTAGCCTACTTTTCACCCACCTTCCTGTCTGATACTGCTACATTAAGGTTTGCACTGAGCTCATGTTGCCTATAAGCTGCTGTTTGTAATAGCCTACCCCTTCTTTCAAGTGTGAGCTATTTAAATTCTCTTTATTGAAACAGATTTGAATGGGTTGTAACATAAAAGTGAACAATACAGTAACAGACACGGCTGGGCTGTGTGACAGTTTGCGTCGCAATTATCACGTTATAGTTGAAATTTGGAGCAGACCTGCGCTCTTCCCGAGTTAATTAAAACGCCCCCCTGATTGGACAGGCAGATAATCCCGGAGGGCCTCGTGCTCCTACTAACTTGCGAGCAGGGCAGCGCGCGAGTCACAATCTGCCCAAGGCGAGGGAGGGCGAGAAAGACGCGCGAGAGGAAAGCGACTGTAGCCTACGAGGGGGGACACGAGCGCTCCGGTCTCACCGAGCACAGTTAAGAGAAGTGTTGTTGAACGTGGGCTATGCGCGCAACAAGGGGGAGCGCAGTGTACAGAGGAGGTGAATGCATGTAGAGGCTCAGCTTCAGATTCACAGCCTCCTTCTTGAAGAGTCACTGCGCTGACAGAGGAAAGGAGTGAGGGAACACAGAGGAACTCCTAGAAAACAGCAACTCCTGGAGAGAACTGCGTGAGTAGGAACCTACAGTCTTCAAAACAAAAGACAGGACAGCGGGAAACACGGAAGAGTAGACTTTTCCTGGTCAGAATCTGCTCTGCTAGAGAAAATGAATGTCAGCGATGAGAACCTGCTCAAGTCCATCAGCAACGACGCGCTCCTCGACCTGACGCAGCGCTACGGCCAGTCAGCCTTCGGATTCGGCGCTGGCCATGGTCCTGGAAGTCCCGGTCGGTTCCCACTCACACCGGCCACCGACTTTCTCTCCGGGCAGACCGCGAAGTCAAACGAGAGCGGCGGGGAGCACACTAGCGACGACGAGGACGGCTTCGACTCCCTGGAGTCCCGGAAGAGGGGCTCGTCGTTTGGCGACGACAAGCCCGGGGGGCCTCTCGCCAAGAAGTCCAAGGAGCAGCGGTCCCTGCGGCTCAGCATCAACGCCCGGGAGAGGAGGAGGATGCACGACCTGAACGACGCACTGGACGGCCTGCGCGCCGTTATCCCCTACGCCCACAGCCCCTCGGTGAGAAAACTCTCCAAAATAGCCACTCTCCTCCTGGCCAAGAACTATATCCTCATGCAGGCTCAGGCTCTGGAGGAGATGAGGCGGCTGGTGGCGTATCTGAACCAGGGACAGACCATAACTTCACCAATCCCCACCGCCCTGGCTCCCTTTGGACAGGCTGCCGTCTACCCTTTCTCGGGATCTGCTCTCGCCACCTGTGCCGAAAAGTGCACCACTTACTCCGGGACACCGTCGAGTCTCTTCAAACACTGCAACGACAAGCCTTGATTTGGTTTAATTTCTCTTTCTTGAACTTTTACCTATACTGCACCCATGTCGGTCTCTCTCCCACTCTAGTTATTTTTAAATCATTCTGTGGAAAATAAGACGATTTTAGTCGAATGCATATAATCTTAAGATATGGTTAAGTAATTATACAGCAATGTTTCATCCATATTTAACAACAAACGCTACATAGAGAACGATCTGTTTAGGCCTTCTTATAGGATGAAGTCAAAAACCCTGTCACTTTCTCTCTCGCTTGTACTTTACAGAGACTACAGGCCATGTCCATATGATAAGTTTGGGTAAATTTTTTAGAAATGTTCTGTCATCAGCTCTCATTTGTAATCTATGCAACATTTAATAACAACAATAAGAAAAGTAGAAATGCCAGGAAATGCGCCCTAATTTCGACATTTAGATTTAATAGGTACAACAATTATGAAAGGACTTCCCTTGACTGACTGTCCTGATGCTGTGTGGGGAAAAAAATCTAATGTGATTTTGGCTGATATATTTTCTGAAAAGATGTGTTCACGAGTTTTTTATTATTATTGTTTATTATTTTTTTTTAAGTTATTGCACATCTCACATGATTGTATTGTACAACTGTGGAAAAATCACTTGCTCCAAGCCCGGCTATACTAATGGTTATATACAGCCTGTACACGGAAAAAGCGTTTTGGTTGTGTTGCAACATGGATTTCATATATTGTTTATATGTCTTTATAATTAAAACACATATCTATGCTTGGGCCCGGTTTGCTTCATTTCAACAACCATTTCACAGCCTTTAAAACTCACATTAATAACATATACAGATTCAAATGGCAAATACTAGCCACAATTGCATACGACATATCATTTTCATTTTTTAAAATGATTGTTTCAAACACATTTATTTTCAGACTTAAATTAGGTGGACATGTCAGGTGACAGTTTAAAACCAGTTGAAAACTACTCTACCTTTAACGCAGGAGGCTGTGATAAAAAAAATAAGTGGAAGAGGAACTGTAAAATCATAGACAATCAGTGAATAAAAAAACAAAAAAAAACAACTGTCGCCTCTCACGCTGCTAAGATGATTTCCAGCTCTCACCCTCTGAGTGGCCCTCCTAAAATGAGTTGGCAACTTTCTTTTCTCGCATGAGAAGCCTCTGACATGAAGAGATAAGTCTAAACGAGCTCAATGGGGCTGGTGAGGCCCGTTTGGCACGCAGTGGGGTCGGTGGCGCTGAGGGGAAGGGCGCAAGAGCCGCCCGGGGCACCCAGGACCTGTCTCTGGGTATTTGGGTGATTGCAGGCTTCCTTTGCCGGGCTCTTATACCCTGGACAGCTATTAACACGATTTCAACTCCTGTCTCCCTGCTCGACTTAATTCAGTGAACGTTATAACGCCAGTTTCCCTTTGCAGGTTGGGGAGTGGATACATTTAGGAGAAAAACTATCTGGAAATTGATGTTTGATATAGTGAGGTGATATTTATATTCCTGAAAACATGTATGTACATGTGTGTCTTCTTTGTCTTTGATTGTCTTGACTGCAGTCACATTTACCCGGAAACAGGAACATTCTTGGGATACCTTTGTCCATGTGTAGGTGCTATATTATGCCTCTTTTTGAGTTAATTATATTTCTATTAAGATTTTTTTTTTTGGCATTAAAAAAAACCCCTGACTTGACAATAACAGCAGACCTTTACTGTAATTGTAGCCAAACGTGCCAGTAAATATTATTTTTTCTAGCTGAATGATTTTTGTGTTTAACAGCATCTGTCTCTCATAATAATTTCTATTGTGTTAAACCAAAAGAAATCTTTTAAAACACTTTTAATCCCACAGGTGTTCTTCCTTTGGCAACATGTCTACATTAATTTGGTATTTCTGTTTGCTCTACACAAACTAAGACACTGTTCAGAATACATTAGACCAGACATTTAGATCATGTCAGTCTATTTATGCTAGTCAGAGAGTGACTAAATGATCCACCCCAGTCTATTTAGTTGCATGTCACAACTACATGCCATCCATGGCATCTTAAATTGGCCCTCTGATGACACGTCTTTTCCGAGGGCCCACGAGACAGTCAGAGAAAGCGGGGATGAAATGTGACAAATGCTGTCGATGATGTGAGGACTCAGGCCCTGCACTCGCTCGGTCTCCGTACAGCCTAATTGCCACAAATTAGATGGTTGCCTTTTTTTTTTCTTTTCTTTTTTTTGCACGGACGGTTGGGTGGTCACTTTCACTCCCTATAGGCTTCTATATGTCAAGCTACTGAGATATATGCTTTATTGTGTCACCTTATTATCTTAATGGCCGTCAGAGTGCATGGTGGCAGTGTGTCATCTGGCATGTAGGCTGTATCTATACATCAAGACAGAGTTGAGATTTTGCTGGTAATGTTTCCTGGCCCTTTTGCCTACAAGCAGTGGATGGTGTGTACATACAGTTATCTTCATCTTTCCCCATACTGAGGATCGTTGTGTGGTTAAAATATGTGTAAGCTACATTTTCCTTGTGTGTTTTGCCTTTCCTTTGATGAATGCCTGAGGTGTGTTAAAACAACATCATTAAAAAAAGTGGTAAGGCATGCCTTGTGCCTATATGTGCCTGGTGTACAAAGTATGTATGTTAGTGTGTGTGTGTTGAGTCCTTATTTGATAGAGAGAGGTAGTTGGGAAATTATAGTCATTTTAATTAATATACACTTGATTTAATTTAAAATTTTAATGAACACACAGGTCATGCCACTTATAGCATTTGCATTGTAGTGCAATAGCAGGTTGCTACAACTCAGTGTTGTAATAAAAGAAACTGATCCGAAAAAAATATGATGTGCAAGTGCTCAATTAAACAAATCTGAATCTTTTAACAATACAATTACAATTACTCAATGTCAGAATATGTCCTGGACATTTCCCAGTAGAAAGTCTGCCATGTGTGTCAAGATGTTTAACCCCTAAAACAGTATTTTTAGAAAAAAAAAAAAAAAAAAAACTCGAGGAGGCTGCAATAATACAAAAAATATTGGAGGTTGTCACTAAAAACTACAAACAGTTCAATTTACAGAGAAGGACAATTATTCCCACTTAAAATATCCCCATGAATATCTCACTTGCATTCAATTGTTCTGTTATACCATCACATGGCACACAGAGCATAAAAATGAAAACACATTTGAACCTGCATCTCCTCACAAAAACAAATTTACAACTGGGTGGAGTATTACAAATGAAGATAGTTTCTTCTGTAATTATAATGTCAAGTTATAATCACATTGTTGCTGCCATTTACTATGTTTTTAATAAACAAAAAAAACAATAACTAATCCATGCAGTTTAAACTGTTAGGATAAATATTAATCCGACACTCAAGTAAACTAAATAAGAAAGGATAGAATAAATCAAATATCACAACATTTCAAAGTGCTGCCACAGATTGACAGCTCACCACCTATTCTCACCTATTGTTGATTGTTGACAGTGTCTTTTTCGCAGACAAACCCACAGCACTACAATCAGTGCACTACCACTCTCACGACAGCCCAGTGTGTTGCAGGCTACGGACAGACTGTGTGATGTCTGTAAACATTTGTGTTTGCTCTCAGTGGGATAGAAAGGGAGTGATTTCATTAGCATGGCTCGGAGCTTTGAGGTATGTTTGTGTGCTTTTCTCCAACCCGATGGTATAGTACTAAAACCATATGCCCTTAAGTGCGTACCTCTGCCTAATGCATCTGACAGCGCTGTTTTCTCTAATTAAGTTCTTTCTATGTGCGAGCTCATGTGTCTGATGCACACTGTAGCACTCCCTCTCACACACACACACAGCCCTGTACACAGACTGTATTTACAACAGGGGCCTTGAAGGAAAATGAACATACTTCAGCTCTGATTATGTTTCTAGTGGGGGAACATAAAACATTAGATTTTTTTTTTTATTATTATTAAAATTTGTTCACAGAAGCATAGCTCTGGCCTTAGATGCCAAGTGACATAGAAGGTTTGGTTGTTGCAGGCAGGTTCATGAGGGGGAGAAGGGGTGAGGAGGTGAGATAAACAACCGAGCTAGACTAGTTGGTGCATGCATGTGTATGTATGAGTGTGTGGTGTTCATCAGTGTGCGGGGTGGGAGAAGGAGAACATAACATGGAGTAAGAGGTGCTGGTGCCTCAGTGTTTTTGTGCCGTCGGTGGCACTGTAAGGATGGCCCCCACCCACCCACCCATCACCCATGGACCCCCAAACTTCTCTGCTTCTACTGTGACATCACACTCTGTCGTCCCTCCCAGCCCCGCCTTGTCGGAAGCGATGAGTGGGTGAGTCAGTTGGTTCCGAGGAGCCATGTGATTCGGGGCGACATTGCTGCGAGTGCAGCGGGATGGGCCGAGGCCTTTCATTCGTTAATCAGACGTCTAAAGGGGGGTGGAGAGGGGATGTCTGTTTGTATGTGTCTGTGTGTTTGTGCATTGTGTGTACGCATGTGTGCGTGCGTGTGTGTGTGTGTGTGTGTGTGTGTGTGTGTGTGTGTGTGTGTGTGTGTGTGTGTGTGACTGTGTTTTGTGCTCATATGGCCGCAAACCGTTGAAACATGGCAGTCAGGCAAAGCGTTTTGCCTATCGCCACAAGGCACCTGACACCACGCATGGTAGACCCAGACAGTGTGGCAGGGGCCAAATTGGGCCTGGTGGGAGGGAGCAGAGACGGAGGCCGGATAGCAAGCACCGGATGACAACAGTCTGAGCTACTGTCGAAAAATAATGTCCTATTCAGGGCCGCAGTTATCTGTCATAGGTGCTCTGTGAGAGGGGCTCATGTCCAATATATCCCATGGTTTGTGTCTCCAGTCTGAAGAGCACAGATTTGTTGCTTCCCCTCCGCTTCGTTAAAGCCTCACTTTCTCCTCCTCTTTTCTTTTACTAACATGCCTCCATGTTTCTCCTCCACCCACAGTCCCTCCCCCTTTTCTTATCACTGTGTTCATCACTCTCACCCTTTCCCTTTTAGCTCGTTGTCTTGACAGAGGATCCGAGCTGACAAACGGGGGCATCCGTTACTGTAGCACTGCCTAATCTCTGTAATGGCCCCACAGATACAGGACTGGTGGTGTGCAAACACTCACACACATGCACAGACACAGACACACACAGACACACACACACACACACACACACACACACACACACACACACACACACACACACACAACCACACACACACACACACACACACCTCAACTCGCTGGACAAATGTACATGCAAAGCCCTGGGGTCAATAATCATCACTGTGTTCACCCTTTTGTACACACTATAACCTCCTTCACTCACATAGACTACTTTGTATCAGCTCCTATCTCGCTGTGTCTCTCTCCTTTACACACACACACACACACACACTCACACACACTCACACCAGCTGAGGAGCACCATGGTTTTGTGGGGAGCAGGGGGAGCTCGTTATCCTCATTAATTAATGACAAAAGCGATGTAATTGGCCATCCATAATCCTCCATGCGGAGACGGTGTGACAGGCAGGGCCAGGACCATCGACTACAGCGAGTGCAACTCATAAACACACACAGAGAAAATGAAGACACTTTTCATCCTGTTTGTGTGTGTGTGTCTGTGGTTAATGATGTACTTGAACGGCAAAACTGACTTATAATTATGAAGTGATACTAAAAGTTGTAACACAG